GTGCTTGGCCACCTTCGAAAGCATGAGAAGCATGCCGTCGCAGGCACTCTGGAAACGTCGTGCTGCTTCTGGCGGGAAGGAATACTCAGTGCGATAATCCTCGATCAGTGTTTCCATTGCACAGTTGAGCTTCAACACCAGGGCAATGTCACGGTGAATCTGCAAATCCTTCTTATGGAACTTGAGCCAGACGACATACAATGCCTTTCCCAAATGTCGGATTTCTGCCGCCTTTCCACGAAGCTTAGCATACCCGCTCCGCATAAACATGGAGAGGCGGTTTAGGTATCGATATTGCACTTGCTGGGGTGTCCGCAAAGACTTGTATGCTTGTTGCAAGGCCTGCCAAACTGCCTTGAGGTTTTCATCCGGCGACCAGGGCAATATGAATGAAACCAGGAGTTCCAATATGGAGCCGAAAAGATACTGGTCACAGCCCAAATATTTGATGTGCATATAATCGAGGCAGATTGTATGACACGACACATATGATAGATTGAACAGTGGTACTTGGGATCGGTGCTCCCAGGCTCTCCAAGCAGCACTGGACCATTGTGTGTGTCTCCATCCAGCCGTAGACCTGAAGTCTGTCCAGGCATTAATCCCTGAAGATGTTGCTTGGCAGAGCGGGCAACAATTTTTGGCCCGAGCATAATGGGGAAGCTCAAGAACACTATAGAAGTAGTCTAAGTCGCCGAGCACTCCCCAAAGAACGGCGAAATACCCGTTTGCCAAGGGTTTGCCAGCTTTGGCGAATTCTGTCGTGCCTTTCTTGTACCTGAATGCTGGTCCAAGGTCTAATGGAAAGCTTTGTAGGTTGAGACGATTTTCCGAGGAACCCCGCACGAAATTCAGACTTCAACAACTTGTTCTAGGGTTCTAGGATGCTAGACTTACAAAACCACAGAAGAAAAAGATGTGCTTATATGTGCGAATGACTTGTTGCCGTCCACATCGGTATCTGGAAAGACACCCAGCCAGAGCCACCAAAGAGACCAAGCCAGAATCCGAAAGAATCGGTGCAATGTGTTTCGATCCTCTTGCCGAACTCTCAGCTTCTCGAAGCAAGCATAAATCAAATGCATTTTGTCTTTTGTAGAGCGACCAAGTGCTGTCATGGAATACCACGAAAATATAGTCATCTTGCTAGTCCAGCCTTTTCCTATCCCCGTGATGGGGACGTCGTCCCCGTGAATCCCGATCGGGACACATTTCCTTTGGAATGTGTCCCGATCGGAAATGGGATGCCCCTGGTATTGGGGATGATTTCGGGCTGCTTCCCAGAATCGTTCAAGCTCCGCCTCGCTGTTGAGCAGGTTTTTTTCAAAGGCCTCAGGATACTGATGAAACATGCTGCTGAAGACCTCGTGGGGCAAAAGCATGTCCTGCTGCTTGTCCAGTAAAGGAGCTTTGAAAGGTACTGTTGCTGTGTATGCTGGACAAAGCTTCACAGATGGCTCAAGGAAAGCCAGCAACTCGCTGTTGCACCGGGAAGGGTATTGTCCAGAAGTGCCTAATCGGGCTAATCTCTCCAGATCTGGGTAATGGAAGGAAGCATTGGCATGTTGTAGGTCTTGGACTGCTGCAAAAGCCAAACTTTGTACTTGTTGTGGGCTGTATGTACCCCAAACATACTTTTCTATCAACTGTTTCGCCAGGGCACTCTGCTCCGGGGCATCCATCATGTTGCTTTCTTCTTCCCTGGCTTTAGCCAATCTCTGCCTTTGGCCGCCTTTTCTTTTGACACCACTCGAGGAGGAAGCCATGCTTGTGAAAAGGTTTCAGACCACATGTAGGATGTATAGAGCCTATGTATAGAACCTCTTTACCCTCAAAACCCTCCCAACTGTACTATATACCTGGAGCGAGAACAGACCACCGTGAAGTTTACCTTGAGCGAGACAAGACTACCTACCACACTCTGTGTAGGAGCGAAAGTACCTTTTGGGACCTTGAGGGGAACTAGACTAGACTCAACCAAGAGGAGACAAGACCACCATGCATGAGTGAAAGTATACCTTGAGGGAGATTTTACCAGCACATTGCAGACCACTGTGCATGAATCAGGGGGTGTACCTTGAGGGAGATTAAACCGAGAGAGCAAACCTTGAGAGGGAGGCAGCCACAGGCAACCCGGCAAGAATACCCACAACATCGAAGTAAGACCCTAAGCCAAACACCTTCCACCCTGAACCCCCAAACCACATACCCCAAACCCCTAAACCGTATGATACCCCTAAGCCAAAAGACCTTAGGGGTTTCGAGTTCGAGGTTCAGGCTTTAGTGTTTACTCGGACTTTCCAGGGACTTTAGGATCTAAGTAGGTAAAATAAAAGTAGACTTGTATATACCCCGAAAAGAATCCTAT